GGGTGGGGGGTTGAGACCCCCCCCCTTTCCCCGATCCGTCGTCGGGGAGACCCCCACCCCCCCTCCCCCGCCGTTCAAAAGGGGGGGGAGGGTCCGACCCCCTCCCCTCCCCCCCTTTGTCTGCCAAATTCGAACCCCCTCCCCCCCTTCTTTCGCCACGGCGCCCCCCGTCTCCGGAACCCGCCCCTACCACCACTAACACGAAATTGATGTTAGGGGTGGTAGGGGTCGGGTTCCGCCCTGGCCGCTACCAGAGGGAGCTCACAACTCACTACTCACGAGTCACTACTCACTAATTCCTAATCGCTACTCCCTACCCACTACCGACTACTCAATACCCACTTCTCCCTTCTCACGACTCACTACTCACTACTCACTACTCACAACTCACTACTCACAACTCACTACTCACTACCCACCGCTCGCTACTCCCCACTCGCTACTCCTTACTCCCTACTCCCTACTCACTACTGACTCCTGACAACTCCCTCCTCACTACTCACTACCCACAACGCCCTACTCGCTACTCGCTACTCGCTACTCCCTACTCGCTACTCCCTACTCCCTACTCCCTACTCACTACTGACTCCTGACTACTCCCTCCTCACTACTCACTACTCACAACGCCCTACTTGCTACTCACTACTCACTACTCACTACTCGCTACTCCCTACTCGCTACTCCCTATTCGCTACTCGCTACTCGCTAATCACCACTCACTACTCACTACTCCTCTACTCACTGCGCACTACTCACCACTCACTACTCACACCTCGCTATTCGCTACTGTCTACTCCCTCATCCCTACTGCCTGTTTACTACTCACTATGCACTACTCACTACACACTACCCACTCCTCACTACTCACCACTCACAGTTCCTTGCTCACTACTTCCTTCCCGCTACTCACTACCCACTACTCATTACTCACTAATGTCCACGCGCTACTCACTACTACCATTACACATTACCTACTACTCACTACTCACCACTCACGACTCTGGCACTACTCACTACTCACTCATCGCTATTCAAAATACTCTACTCTCTACTCACCACCCGAGACGCCCCCTTCCCAGCCCCCCATTCGGCGCAGAGGGGGGGAGAGGGGGGGGCGAACCCCCCCGCCCCTTTCCAGCGCCAAGAGGGGGAGGGGGGGGGGTCCGGACCCCCCCCCCCCTTTCAAGGAGGGGGGGGGGGGGTTCGGCCCCCCCGCTCCCCTGAGAGGGGGGGAGGAGGGGGGGGGTCGAAAATCTCACCCCCCCTTTGAAGGGGGGGAGGGGGGGTGGGCTCGGCGAGCACACCCTCCCTTTTGTGTATTCAGGGCCATCCACTGGCGCGCTTTCACTATTAAGCCCCATCCCTTTCCGATTCGAC